ACTGCAGTTATGTGTTCTGGGGAGGGAGACCACAGAGGCAAAGTACCATTTCATCATATTATATCAAGGGTTCATGCTATGAACGTGACTTATCGGTGTTGACATTGATGTTGGTCCTCCGTCTGAGGTAGTGTTTGTCAGCGTTTCTCCACTGTAAAGCTGCTTTTCCCACCCTCTCTTTCCACGTTATTCACTTTAGAGTCACTGTGCATAGCACACACTTAAGGACTGAGAAGTTATGCTCTCCATTCTTGAAGACTGAGTATCTACTGATTTTTGAACTATTTGTTATGTTGCTCTAGGGTTTAGACAGTCTCTCTCAATTAATCATAATCTCCTTCAGATTAGTACGAATTTAATTCTGGTGATATATAGAAAACTTGCTTCATTCTGCCTACCTTTGTGCTATTATTGTCATATATATAATGTCTCTAAACATTAAAATCCAAAGTACAGTGTTGTAACTGTTGCTTTATATAATTTTATGTCTTTTGAAGAAACTAAGAGAAGAAAGGACACACATACATAATTTGTTAAAAAATGATCATTTCTGGCACTCTTCAGTTTTTTCTGTGGTTTCAAGTTACCATCTGATGTCACATCTTTATTCCCCTAGAACTTCTCTGTTTCTCCCCTCCTTTGCACTGTAAAATATATTATACCTCTCTATATAGGTATATATAGGCCCAACAATTCACTTTTTAAAAACATTTATAGAGATACTGTTCACATACCATACAATTCACCTACTGAATGTGTACAATTCAGTGGTTTCAGAATATTTACAGACATGTGCAACCATCACCACAGTCAATATTAGAACATTTTCCTTTAGCCATCATCCCCCTATCTCCTCTCCCCCTCCTCTAGCCCTAAGCAGCCACTAGTCTACCCCTTGTCTCTAGAGAATTGTGTATTCTGGACATTTCATATAACTTGAATCAAATGATATGTGGTCTTTTGTGACTGACTTCAATTCACTTAGCATAACGTTTTCAAGTTTCATCTATGTTGTACTGTGTAATTCATTCTTTTTTGTGGCTGAATAATGTTCCATTATATAGATATACCACATTTTGCTTATTCATTCCTCAGTTAGTGGACATTTGGGTGGTTTATACCTTTTACCTATTGTGAATAGTGGTGCTTTGAGCATTTATGTACAAGGTCTTGCATGGACATATATTTTCATTCCTCTTGGGTGTTTACCTAGGAGTGGAGTTGCTGGGTTCTATGGTAGCCCTGTGTTCAGTCATTTGAGGAATTTGAGTGTTTTCCAAATCGGCTGCATCATTTTACATTCCTACCAGCAGTGTATATTGTCTACAAGAAACTCACTGAAATATAAAGACACAGATTAAAAGACAGTTCCTCCCACCGATCCCTATGACATTACTGTCATTCCTTCCACTTGGCATTATAGGCTATAATCAACCAATATATTACCATTAGTCTTTTGAACAAAAACTTATTAGTTAGATCACTTAAGGCTACAAAAAAAATTAAAGCTTGTATTTTGCCTTCACTTATTCCTTTTCTAACACTCTTCCTTCCCTTATTATTATTTTTCACTATTATTTTTCCTTCCTTTATTTTGATTTTCTGACCTAGATTGTTTTCCTTCTTTCTGTGAAGCTCTTTTAACATTTCTTGCAAGGCAGGTCTACTGGCAACAAAGTCCCTCAATTTTTGTATGTCTGAGGGGGCATGTCTCCTTAAACTTTTGGAGGGTCCAGTCTTTTTCTTTGTTTTTCAGACACCACTTCTGACACCAAATATGGTTTTTCTGTACCAATTCTCCAACACTAATTTTAGGTTTACCTGGCTAGGACTTTGGCTAAGGTTTATGTTTGCTGTAGTTGTAAGAGGCTAAAATTTCCTCCAGTGTCCTTATTTTTGTCTCCTCTGTTATCTTCAGTTTTCTCTTGAAACTCCCGCTCAAAGAGCATCTGAGCTTTGCAGTTATCTTAGCTATGCTTATACAGGCTGACTGATGCGATGGTACGATGTGGAGGGAGGGGAGCATCCTATAATCCTCTGATGAGGTACCAATCTTAGTGAGGCTGTGCTCCTGGGCTGGGGCTTAAAAGCGCTCTCAGCGTCTCCCACCCATCAGGTAAGACACTAAGTTTAAAGGGAGCTGGAGTTGGATATTTCTTTCCCTCCATGTACATAAAAGGCTAGAGAGGAGTGGAACTGAATTATTTTCCTTCCCTCAAGTTAAAACAGTTTCTTTTGAGGCAAGCCCTTTCTTAAAACAGTTTCTTCCCTTAGGTTCTGGTTAAAAGTTTCTTCTGTTGCAAGTCCTATCTTAAAAAGAACAGAATGCGCTGGGTATATTTCAAAACGGTTACTTTACTGCTCCCTCTGCCAGAATTTTTCCCTGATTTTCACCAGAAGAACCTGGTAGGATTCCTGGAGGTAGGATTCATGAAAGTGTGGTGGGCCCCCTAAGACTGAACCCCTAGTTTTTAACTCTCACGCTAGTTCACCGTGAGTCTCTAGCAGTTCATCAGTTACAATCTAAGTGTTCCTACCGATACTGGCTCCACTGGTGAGCTTCTGTTCCTAGTAACCTCTCCCTATTTGCCTTTCTCTCCAGTTTTCGGGAAAGCAGTTTGTCCTGTGACCTAAATTCTCTGCAGGAAACAAGAAGAATTAGTTGCTGATTTCCACTTTGTTCAGATTTTTTTTTTTATATTGAAGATGAGAGTGGCAAGTTCTAAGATTTTCCTGTGTTGGATAAGAAACCAGAAGTCTGGTCAGTTTATTTTTCTTCGATCTTTTTTTCTCTCTGTTCTCAGATTCCATCATCTCTAATGATCTTATTTTCAAATTTACTAATTCTTCTGCCAACTTAAATCTACTGTTGATCCCTACAGTGAACTTTATTTCAGGTATTGCACTTTTCAACTCCAGAATTCATTTGGTTCTTTCAAATAATCTTATGTATTGGTATTCTCTATTTGACGAGTTACTTTCATGAACATCGTTTCCTTTTACTTGGTTGCCATACAAAACAGAAATTTATTTTCTCACAGTTCTGGAGGTTGGAAGTCCAAGATCAAGGTGCAGGCAGGGCTGGTTTCCTCTGAGGCCTCCCTCTGTGTAACTGCATCACTGGTATCCTAATCCCTTATAAGGACAGCAGTCAGATTGGATTAGACCTAACGGCCTCATTTAAATTTAATTACTCTTTTTTATGGGGGGGGTAACTAGGTTTACTTATTTATTTATTCTTAGAGTAAGTACTGGGGATTGAACCCAGGACCTCATGCATGCTAAGCATGCACTCCACCACTGAGCTATACCCTCCCCTCTAAACTTAATTACACTTTAAAAGCCCTATCTCCAAATACAGTTACATTATGAGGGACTGGAGGTTAGGACCTCAACATATGGATTTGGGGGGACAATAATAATATATAAGAAGGGGGTAATTTAGTCACCAAAAACAACTATTTAAATTGTAGTGAGTGTTGTAAGAGGCTATGGCCATTTTCTTTTGCTCACTCTCATATAATATCTATCTCCTATTTATATACGTTAGTTAATAACAACACCTTTACATGCTCTATCACTGAACAAGAAGTAGCAGAAGTCTTTTATATATACCAAAAAGCAACAGGAAAAAAGTCAATTTTACACTTTAGAATTGTATAGTATTTAGAATACAATTCATGTAAAAGAAGAAAGTCGTATTTAATGTGGAAAATCTTGATAGATAGCATTCTACATATAATACTTGTTTTACATTCACAATTGTTAGCTTCACATGTGCAATTCCAACATGTATATGATTATGTAAAGTGCGTAACATAATTTAGTACAGCTGGGAATATAATGCCTTCATATTTTGCAGATTTTCCACATATGATTTTCCAATTTTGTTCTGATTAGTGCACTTATTAATATTTCAAAAGTCTTTGTAATCCACAGTGAGCATTTATCATTTAACAAGGAGGTGTACTTTCTGTAATGTTTTCTAGAAATACTTTGGCATCACATCTGAAATACGATTGCTACAGAAACAGAGCTATACATTTTCCTAAATATGTTGAATTAATAGGAGTCTTCTTATTAGGACATCTTGGTATCTAATAAGGTTTGATTCCTAGTGAAGGCTGTCACTGTAATTTTTAGTTGAACATATTCCCACATTAGTTTCTCTTTTAGGGAACTCTTCCTTTGTGAGTCCTCTTATGGCGACAAGAGGGCTGAGCTATGTCGGAAGGCCTTCCCACACTGATCGCATTCATAGCGTTTTTCTCCTGTGTGAGTTCTGTGATGTATAATGAGGTCAGACTTTTCAGAAAAGGCTTTTTTATATTCATTACATTCATAAGGTTTCTCCCCAGTATGGATTTTCTTATGTCTCATAAGGCCAGATACTTCACTGAAAGCTTTCTCACACTTGATACGTATGCAAGGCTTCTCTCCTGTGTGTATCCTCTGATGTACAAAGAGGTGCGACTTCATGCTGAAGGCTCTCCCACATTAATCACACACATAGGGTTTCTCCCCAGTATGGATTCTCTGATGGATACTGACGTGTGATTTTTGGAAGAAGGCTTTCCCACACTCATTACATTCATAGGGTTTCTCCCCAGTGTGAATTCTCTGATGAGGTGTGACTTATGGGAGAAAGCTTTTCTACATTCAGTACACTCATAAGGCTTCTCTTGGGTATGGATTCTCAGATGTATAATGAGATTTGATTTCCTGCTGAAAGCTTTTCCATAGTCAGTACATACAAAGGGCTTTTCTCCTGAATGAGTTCTCTGATGTATAAGGTCTGACTTCTGGAAGAAGGCTTTCCCACACTCACTACATTCATTTTTTTCTTGTGTATTTTCTATTGCCACTAAATAAGTCTAAATAGTTCAGACTTTTACCATAATACGAGTCATATCTCTGGAGTCTTTGTTTTGAAGAAACAAAATTTGTGCTCAGATGACATCTATTTTCAAGTGCATTACAACTGTTACCCTTTTCTTTAGTCACAGTTTCCTGGTCAGTGAATACAACATGCCTCAAAGTGTTTCTTGGTTCTCTTGGTGCCTCTCCATGCGGTCGTCAACTTGCCAGACTTCTTCTAGAATGAAGCATAATAAACTATATGTTGGTGAATATTTCTGCTAATGTATTATGTATGGCTCATGACTTTTTGCTCTTCTGTGAGACTGAAGCTTTACTTTGAGGGCAAATGTCCATATCTAAAAGAAATACCAAGGCTGAGTGGAATCTATATCCCTGAGCTTAGCAGGAAAGCCACATTAAAAAAAAATTGTACTAGTAGAAACAGAACCAGATAATACGATGATGAGCATAAATATATCTGGCTATATGCAAACAAGACTTTGCAAACTGGGGAGAAAGATGGAAATAATGCCAAGGAGTAGTAAAAAGGAACAAAGAAGAACAGCTGCGACTGGGTCAGTGAGAAGGTCCATCTAGGAGAATTAAAAGTGACGAGGGTAAAATGATGATTAGAGGAAATAAAGGAAGGACTGGATGAGGAACAGAGAGATGTGAGCTAGTGTCTCAGCAACTCACTGTTGGATTGCTGTAATTTAACCTTCACTTGCCTCTGCTTCCAGTGTCTTTGAGCTCTTGTCTAGTTATCTATCAGTATGAAACTGATTTTTATGAAACCATCAATTCCAGCTGCCAACAGGAATACTTTTGTAGCCAGTGCTTTAAAAAGCCTTATAATAGTAATTCATTCCTGTATGGGTATGAGGGCCCAGGAACTCATGTCCAGTGAGAGGAAAACAGGCCATGGGATAAATCAAATACTACTTGACTCAGAATTAGATTCACTGCTGAATTCTGATTGCTGAGTGTACCATCTTATTCTGTAATAGTTCACAAATACTGCATTGATCCTGATTTTTAACTGCTCTCTACCTACCAAATATGGAAAAGACATGAGGACAAATATTGTATGATTCTACTTATATGAGGTACCTAGAATAGTCAAAGCATAGTAATAGGAAGTAGAATATTGGTTACAAGTGCCTGGGGGAAGGTAGAACAGAGAGTTATTTTTTTAATGGGTACAGAGTTTCAGTCTGTGGTGATGCAGAGTTTTCTGGAGATGGATGGTGGTGATGGTTGCAACAATACAAATGTACTTAATACTACTAAACTGTACACTTAAAAATGGTTAAAATGGTAAATTTTGTTATCTATATTTTGCCACAATTTAAAAAAAGAGAAAAATATCTCCTCAAGATCCTTAATGAAGTTGATAGGAATGACAGGCAGAATACACCAAAAAGGGAAAATGTAAGTCTCTAACAGTCTTGCAAAAAAAGCACATTAATATGGGAAGATGGTACAGAGAAATGGTGTTAACTTATGTTAACTGTTCCCAGTTATTTCCAAAGGTTCAAGGCCTTTAGAAGAGAGTCTGAAGTATGTCTCTCAAAGACGCCAGCCCTCATTGACCAGATGTGACCATCATTTCATTCACTTCTATCTGCACAGTTTTTCACCTAACTCACCTGGGTATCTCTCACTTGGGATTTCTCTCTCCACCATCCATGGTTCTCCTTGTTCCAACTTGTGGATCACAGCAGACTTGGTGGTTTGATAACCTGTCAATGGAAAATGATACGGAATTTGGACCTAGCTGCCTGGGTTTCAGATCTTTTGAACTCTTAACTTCATCATGGATTGCTTGATAAAGGTGCCCATTTGTACCTAAAAAGAAGAAGTTCTTTTGTTTTTGTTTTTTTGTTTTTGAAGAGAGGTTTTTTGCTTGTTTGTTTTTGTTTTTCACATTTTTAACACTTTATTTTTTTCTTGTGCTTTTTTTTAGGGGGGAAGGGAGGCAATTAGGTTTATTTGTTTATTTATTATTATTTATTTTAATGGAGGTACTGGGGATTGAATCCAGGACCTTGTGCACGCTAAGCACGTGCTCTACCACTGAGCTATACCCTACCCTCTAAAGAGAGGATTTTAAACAAACATGTAGCCATGCCTCTCAAGAGACTGTCAGTCTTAGTCTACTGAGACTCAGAGCCACACTTTTAAAAGTGTTTCAAAGGATTGGCAATTTGGGGCAACTGAGAAAGGAATAGCAGTCAGCCAGGTACATGCCAATCAACACTGGGAAATGTCCTCACCCACTGAGATGAGGTTGATGCAGTTCTCCAGCATCATATCCCTGTACAGATCCCTCTTGGGAGGGTCCAGGTACTGCCATTCCTCCTGGGTGAAATCCACAGCCATAACCTGGAATGATCCTGGTCCCTGTAACAACACATTCTTATTCCAACTAAAATGATCTATATTGCATAAAATGTAAAACAAATTGCATGGCAACTTGTTCCTAAGCATGTTCATTAGTTGGTCATGCTTCCTGAAATTTAGCTCCATTTCATTTTGGGTGACATCACACTAAACTGGTCACACTCTGTTTCTCTAGCACTGAGCTTTGATGCCTATTTGTCTAGTTTATATTCCATTTTGTGGGTGATACAGAACTCATATCTGAAATACTTTGTACTTGTAAAGTAATTACCCATTCATTTAGTAAGTCATTAAACATTTATTGAGTACCCACTACATGTACAGAACTGGTTGTCTTAGACACAAAGGATAAAATATTGGAAGCTGATCCAATTTGCAAATATGCCAAGCCATAGAAAAAATGCTTACTCAGTATCAAAAGTTATAGAATGAGAAGACACTGTTCAGACTGCTCCCATAAGCTTTTAAGCAAAGAATAAAACACTTCAATTCTCAATGTTTCAAATTATGGTGTACTAAATATTTATCTTTACTATTTTTCATTTCCCTAGACTTGTATAACCAATAGTAAGAGATAATTTAACGTTTTGAAAAAAATTTTAAGGTGACAGAATAGTAGTAACCAATGGGGAAAATCTCATTGATTATCACAATTGCTTTGCACTATTTCAGGTCATGTGGTCATTTTTTACAATCCTGCATTACTCTTCCTGTATAGCAAAACTAACTTA